GGGGGGGGGGGGGGGGGGGGGGGGGGGGGGGGGGGGGGGGGGGGGGGGGGGGGGGGGGGTCCATCGGACTGAGCACGCTTTTAGCCATTCAACAATTTGACATGTCAACCCCATGTTATCGAGCTGAGCAGTGTTTGCCACTAAGCCATTTCCCATGTCGATCCCCTGTTAGCGAGCTGGCGCTCGCCTTTAGCCACTATATTATTTGCCATTTCGACCCCTTCTTTACCACACGAACGGTTAGCGGAGGGATACGAACGATGTCTGGCGAGTTGCGGATAGTTGCAAACACCATCCTCCACCGGAAGCACTACCAGGAGCGGTATATACGCGCATGCCAAACGAAAGCGAACTACTTCTAACATTGTTCCCCGAGAGGCCGATCGCGTACGCTCTCAAATGACCCAACACTTCGAAAATTCGCGTTGGGGTGTAAATCAAATTCGCAACGGGACGCCTACACAAGTGTCACGAAGGATGACCTTGAGTGGCAGCCCGCTTTCGTCGGTAGCAATCCGACATGTCACTGCTACACGTCCCCACGCCTTCAGGATTGCGAGGAACATTCAACTGTCTAACGCGTGTCCGTTTTCAGTTTATACTTCCCCACCCCTCCCTCCCGCTGGAACTACAACAATCTGCCTCCCACTTCTCCCCCCCCCCCCCCCCCCNCCGGTGAAAACCCGGCGTGCTCCGTCCCGGCTTCGTAGGGATGCGAGGTCACCCAACTACAGCTTGCACGGCTACGAGCACCCCCCCGTCCCTCCCAGCTCACCTGCATTCCCAACAGCTCCGCCGGGGTGACCGACCTGAGCGTGTCCATCATGGCTGGCCCCACCTCCTCCGGCGGGAAGGAGAACGAAAGAGTCGGCCAGTCTACCCTCTCCGGGAAGGGCCTCACCATGTCCCTCGACACGAACACGGGGATGGCACCGGCGCTCATCACCTCGGCGAGGCGGTACGTCGCGGGCTGGCGGCCTGCGGGCACGAGGCCGAACGTCGTGTTCCTACGGAGGGGGGGGGGGACAAGACATCGTGCGCGTACTGAAAAAACTAAAGGCCATTTTTGTTGGGGGGGGGGGGGGGGGGGGGGGNACCGGTGTTGTGCCATGGGTAGAGACACAAGCGTGACAGAGACATCGTGCGCGTAACAACCGAACGGCGTTCCTCTTTGTTTGCGGAAGGGGGGTCGGAGTTGAACGTGGTCTCCCCGGAAAGGGCACAAGACACACGCATGAAGACATCGTGCGCGAATTAAAATACGAAAGGCGGTTCCTAAGGTGCAACGCGGTCGGGGGGGAAAGAAGTTTGTCATGGCGGAGGGGCGGTGCGATATATCGACCGACGGAAAAAAGAGGGAAAAAACAAAAAACGTACATGAGGTTTGTCACGGCGGAGAGGCGGCGCAATATCTCGACCGATAGAAAAAAAGAAGGAAAAAACAACAGCAACAACAACAACAACAACAACAACAACAACGTACATGAGGTCCTCGTACTCGTGCCGAGACGCCGTTTCGTTGAGGGCCAGGCAGAACTCCTCGTTCTCCGGCAGGAGGTGCTCGTCGTGCAACTCGAAGCAGTTGAGCCCCATGATCACCCCCTCCGGCTCGGAGTGGAGCGGGACGACGCTCATCCGCTCGTCGTACCCGACGCCCGACAGGTAAAGGTTGCCCTGCAGAGAGGGACCGCCGCCGAATGCAAGCATGTCATAGGTGTGTGTGCAAGGACGGGGCGGGGGGAAGGGGGACTCTCATGTCTGGATGCCTTTGCGGCTAGACCATTGACCACGCGTCCTCGAGAGGGCGGAGCATAGATCCCACAGGACCGATCATCGATGGCACGGAGCGGGGGGGGGGGGGG